CGCGAGAGCCGTGCCCATCCGCGGCAGGGAGTTTGCACAGCGTGGGCAGGAATTTTGTCGATGTCCTCCTGAGCCTATGGTAGAAATTGCAATACATATTCGTAACCAGCCAGTGCGGGCCTTGTGGCGTAAGGGTGTAAGCGAGAGCTGTGTGCCTGATCTTCATGGAATCACAGAATCCTAGGGGTCGGAAGGGACCTCTGGGGATCATCTGGTCCAACCCCACTGCCAAAGCAGGGTCACCTAGAGCAGGTCGCACAGGACCTCATCCAGGCGGGTGTTGAATATCTCCAGAGAAGGAAAACTGCACAGGAACTGTGGGTTTAGCATGTGCGAGGGCATATTTGTGTTCCAGTTTGCTCAGTATTATCAGTTTAACATGTTTTCTTATGCACTCAACCTGAACAGAACTCAGCACGAGCACGTGCCAGCAGAGTTTCCGAACTCGTCGTGCTTTGCCGTCAGATGTGAAGTGGTAGCAATTCTGGTCTGCGTTTACTCCACCGCCTGGAAGCTGTGTATTCCCGAGAGTTGCTGTTGCAGAGTCTTACAACAGGTAGCAGCACACAGGCCCGTACTCATAGCAGAACGGCCGGCTGAAATGGAGAGCTTCGGCGGCAGCATGCCCAGAGGGACGGGTTGGCCCCTCTGTAATCAGTCGGCGGGCGTTCCCACCAGCCCGCGCCGCTGTCCGGTCCAAGAATGGCTCCTCCCTGCTAGAGGGTGCCTGTCTCTCCCACTGGGGACCGTGGGCACCTCACCTTCAGGCAGGGGATGATAATAATAATAATAACAACCACAATAAAAATAAAATGGAATGGCACGTGACTTTTGTCTCCTAAATGAGAAGAAATTTCTTTCAGTTTTGGGTTTTTTCTGAGATGCTTGTAGTAACCTATAGGAAGATTAAAGGAAGGTGCAGCTGCAATGCACTTGTCAGATTTGTTTCTATGCCCGTTGCACCTCGAGTGTTTTCTTAAAATGGGCTTTACCAGAAACGACCTTAGAGAAAGGGTCTTTAAAGGCTCAGGTTTTGTGTGCATGCCTTTCCACTGAGTTAGCTAAAAACATGGAGATCAGCTGGAGGTTATGTCATGGTGAAATGTTCTGTGCAGAGCCATTTAACATATGGACCTCCAGCATACAACAGTCACATGACCTTGCTTTTCAAATACGTGCTGTGGGATTTGTTATAGAAGCTCAAGGCTTTCTCTGGCGGATGAACTGCTGGGTCATCCACAAAAGGCAGCACAAATGAGCCGAGAATGTTGACAATATAAACAAGAGTAAATGGTAGCCAACCTGCCTGACGCAAACCAGAGGGGAAGAAAACCTGTTTGGTCTGCCCAGATCAACATGGGGTGGCTCTGAAATCCAGGCAGACCTGTGCATCTCCCATTGGAGCACCTGTTTACACAAAACAGGAAGCTTTCAGATTTTTTTCAGTTTAAAAAGGATTTTAGCCTGCAGGAAGCAAGCACAATGCTCAATGAACCAGTAATTTCCACTGCTCTTTGAGATAGTAATAGCGCTCTGTATCTCCAATAAAATCTCCAATTAAAAAAGTCATCTGGTTTAGAGTATTACACTGGAAAAACACTTGATAAATTGCTAGCAGAGACTTCTGGAAGAGTCTGTACTGAGCCCGTGTCTTTCTGCTCCTGCTAGGAACAATTCAAGGTGCAGTTCAAATTGGGCACAGGAATTAGTTTCTGATCTGAAGTATCTTGTGACTACTGGAGTGTTTCATTAGATCTCCATCCTGCCAGGGGCTCTGTATGTTGCACAAGTAGTTACTATACTTACATTGTGTTTGATCGTTGGAATTTCATAGTACAAAACAGAAATTCTTGAAGCACATTGCTGTATTTTCTGTCCGTGCACCAGAACTTAATTTGTGGGCATTGCTTTATGCTATTCACTTTGTTTTGTCTTAGACCCAGTAAAAAGGAAGGAGTGGGGTTTCCTGCTATCCCCCTTTTTCCAGTGTTTTAAACTGAGACATTCAAATTCAAACATTTCATAGCATACCTAATATTGTCTGTCTGGTTTTGACATGCTAGTTGGCGTGTGTGTCTAGTAATGATATGCCTGAAGGTATCTAAACATTTCATTTCAGGACATATTTGCCTACATGTTTTCACATATTCTCCAGCTAAGTTGCTAATGCAGCGCTGTAGAACTTTTTTTTTCCCCCCATATGTTTTTTTTTCTGTGCGAGCTTGAACTGCAGCTGAACTTCTCTAAGCTGGGAGAACATTCAGATCCAAATCCAGATCCCTTAAGATGGGTTCCCTGTTTCATCTGGTCAGTGTAGTGAACTTTGTTCCTTAACATTTGGACTTGATGGCCTTAAGGGTCTTTTCCAACCTAAATGGTTCTATGAAATGAGCGTCACAAAGGAAAAGCCTTATTTCCCTTCATGTTTTGGCCGTACTGCTCCATAAGTTGCAAAGATTTCTGTCCCTGGGTGTTCTTCCTCCCCCCGTGCTTGCTTCCTCCGGTATGCTGGGTCATTCTTGCAGGAAATGTAGAGTGGGGAAGAGATCAAATGGGTTCAAGGAAAATGCTTCCCCCAAGGAGAGGTTTTTGTTAGCTAATTTCCTGCCCAGAAGTTGAGAAGTTGCATCAGAGTTTCTGCAGTCTGTCAAAATTCAGACATCTCTTGTGATGTAAATGGGCAACAGAAAATGCCTGACACTCTCGGCAGAGGAATGACGTGCTAACTAGTAGCTGAATTAAGGTGGGTGGATTTAGCGCCTAGCACATAGTCTGGTTTTTTGTGCAGCCCTTCATGTTTTACTACCTAATTGCATCTGGAAGCAAACTGATATGTTACAGCATTTATGTTAAGGGCACGCTCCTCATCCATCTAACGCTCCAGTTCTTTTCCGTTTGCAGTTTGAAGGGAGGAAGTACTGCGAACACGATTTTCAGATGCTTTTTGCCCCCTGCTGCCATCAATGTGGTAAGTTCTGCATCGAGATGAAACACTGCACAGTGATCACAAATGGGAACACCACTGGGGGAAGACGTGCAGCCCTCGTGTATGTGCTCTGGGAGGTGGCCCTGTGCGGCTGAGCGTCTGAACTTCCAGAATGAGCTAGACTTCAGAGAATTTGCGGAACTGCTTTTCCTAAAGGTCATCAAAAGTAGGATAAAAAAAAAATGCTTGCATTATTTGAGTGAGCAGTTTAGCTGTTGCGCCAGTGATCCAATGAACAGACCATTCGTGAACTCCTGCTTATATATACCTATACACCTGCATGTGCTCGTATTTGGCCCTCCGCGTGCAGCTGAAACCCTGCAACACGTCTCTGTCCTCTGCTCTGACTGTTGTAACCCACCCGTGCGGTCCTACTCGACAGAAGCGGGGACAGTCGTCATCACCTAGTGTTAAAATCAAATGATGGTCAGCTGGTCCCCCATTGTATTTTTGAAACAAATACCTTTAAGGCTTCAGTGTCTGGTGTCCACCCTACATAACTCTGAGAGCTGCTTTTTTTTCATCGTTGTTGAGGTAAATGCTTGCGTGTCTGCTGCGCTGTAATCATTTGCACTTTTTGCACTTTTTTCTCCCTCTGTGTGTGACACACTGTGCTCAGGCAGGGCTGGGAAGTCATTACTTGGCTATTGCTAAAACTGGCCTGGAAGCTGTTGTGTTTCTGAGGCACCTTGGCAAGGTGCTGCAGCTTTCACTTGTCTCAGTGAGGCCTTTCCCCATGCGAAGGGAGGGGCTGAACACCGAGCGAGAGGGAAACAGATGTTGTGGACCTCTTAATTTAAAGCTGCAAATGTGAACAAGCAGAGGTAGAGGAAGAAATGGGTTGGTGGCAATTTCTGCGGAGCTACGTTACCTATCTCCGGGATTTCTCCTGCCCAGCCGGCACAGCTCCCACTTCTCCTGCCCTGGCTCCTTGCAGCGCTGACTCCCCTGAAACCTCATCCAGGTCCTGCGCAGAGCTGGGCTTTGCCACTGCTTGGATTTAGTAAGCACAGCCAAAATCAGCAGGGCTGTTGTCAGCGATGAGGCCTTGAGCATTCCTGACATTTCTGGAGCTCATCGGGTTTTGTTCTTGAAAGGCTATGACTTCATGGGAACGCCGCGGAGCTGCACGCTGGATGTTATCATCCACATTGGTTGCCTGCCCAAGCGCTCCCTGTTGGCGGCTGCTTGAGTTGTGCGTTCTCCAAAGCCAGGACTCAGCTTCCCACGGCACTGGGAAGAAGCTGACCTCTCAGCACACTTTAGGCTGAGCCTTCGCACTGCTCAGGGGCCTTGGCCACAACGTCCGCATCGAGAACGACTAAATCACGTGTGGTGGACGTGGCTCCACTGCCTGTGCAGCACCGTCACACTGTGCATGCAAAGCAGTAGTGGTCACACCGTGTTTTTAATGCAGGGCAGGGCTCCTCGTGGTCGATCAGAAGCTGTGTGTGTTGGATTGACTGTTCTGCAGCTTCACTTCGGCTTTGCGTTCTGACTCCGTGGGAGTTTCTTTGCAGGAGGTCCACAGCCACCCAAGCTCGGTTCTGTTGTGCTTTGAGTGTAGAGCCCCTGCAAGGCTTGGTCCTAGTCGAGTAGAAACCGCTACGATGTACACAACAAGTTAAAATTGTCGTCTTCTAAAACAAAAGAAGGAGGAAGGTGATTAGGGCACAAGAAAGCCGTATTATATGAAGAATTCCATGTATTTTGTAACAGGTTGAGAACAGATAAGTAAAAACGAGGAAAGGACTGAAAAAGGATGATTGCAGAGAGAAGGTGGAATGTGCATGTGGAAGGTCTTTTATGTAAAGAACAGAAGGTCCTCCATCAGCAAGGATGTTTTCTTCCGACCCATAGCAAAAAGACCAAACCAACCCAAATTCCAGTGTTTGGAGCCAGGACTGTGGTACTGAAAGCAGTGTAGCCTCCCAGATTTCGGGGGGGGAGGAAGAGGATGATGATGTCATTGTAGCAATTTGCTTGTGGGTTTCTTTTAACTTTGTCTAGCATGGTATTTGACATTCTGGTGTTGTTTCTTACAGGTGAGTTCATTATTGGTCGTGTTATTAAAGCTATGAACAACAGCTGGCATCCAGAGTGCTTCTGCTGTGATATCTGCCAACAAGTATTGGCCGATATTGGATTTGTCAAGAATGCCGGCAGGTAGATCTTCACCTTTCCTTCTGGTACTGATCGTGAATAAACTGGAGAGGGAGGACTGAGAGGTTTTGGTTCCTGAAGCTTTCCAGCTGAGATGAAGCAACTGAAGCATCTTTTGTGCAGAGAAAGTCTAAGAGCGCATCACAAAACTAAGAAAGGGTGTCTTAAAATATACACTTAAAATGTGAAGAGTTCAACACCAGATTTCTCAACAAACGTTTCTCTACCTGGTAACATTTTGGAGCCACTGTGATACATAATAAGAGCGAAAACATTCAGATATTGAAGCATTGTCTTTATTTTTTTACTGGCACTTTTTACTCTTCTTTTTCCAACTTGAGTTTCCAATTTTAGACTAGTTTAGCACCTTATTTGTTAATAATTGCTTTAAGTTCGGTGGGACACTTCACAGTCTCGGATATTTTTAGCAGCTATGATCAGAAGAATGTCTTACCACTGGATTCTATGGCCATTGGCTTCATATGTATGGTATGATATACATAGTTATCTACAGAATTAGGACCTGTGTGGTCATGCAGCTTCCAATCTAAACTTTTAAGATACTGAGAGTAAAACATTCAGCAATGAGAATCTACCACAAACTTTGTTTTCCGTGTTTCAACACAGTTGTGTTTAAACTCAAATAAGCTGAAGAAATTTTATTGCTGTGGTGACAGAAAATAAAATAGTAACCCTCCCTCTTCTGAACCTGGTTTTCCTAGCAAGGGAATTGTTATAGAGACTATTTTCTTTGCCAAGAAGGCTGACTGAAATGAGATTCTAACAGGTTTTTATTTATATTTCACACTGTAGTACCTGGTACCAGTACTCACCTCTTCTTTTAATGCTGTTTCAGACATCTCTGCCGTCCTTGCCATAACAGGGAGAAAGCCAGAGGCCTGGGGAAGTACATTTGCCAGAAGTGTCATGCCATTATTGACGAACAGCCTCTCATATTCAAGAATGATCCTTATCATCCTGATCACTTCAACTGTGCAAACTGCGGGTAACTTGCGTTCTGCAAAGGGAAACTGGAAAATGCTGGGTTTATTGGCTTCACTGGTTTACATCTTAAAGTGAAAACCTGCCCTGTGCAACTGGCAGACACAAACCGCACGACTCACAGAGCTGTTCTCCTGGACAGGAATGGCACCTGCGCTCCCGAGCCGTGAGTGAGTTTCTGCTGCCCCGCTTGCCCCCACCGGAACGCAGCATGACGGCCCATGGTATGGAATACCCTGCTCAGTTCGGCCCGGTGGGGTCAGCCCCCTGGCTGTGTCCGGCTGTGCCCCTTCCTGGAGTCCGGTGAAAATTAACCCTGTCCTGGCCGAACCCAGGACAATTGGCTTCACTGGTCTACGTCTGAAAGTGAAAACCTGCCCTGTGCAACTGGCAAGAGGGGTGGGTGCTGGGTGCCTTGTGGCCAGCTGTGTGTGACTGCTTTTGGGGTGGTGGAGTTGCGCCTTCAGCTCAAACAGCAGCTGACCTGTCGGGGAGTAATGAGAGGTTGGAGTCTGCCAGACCAGGTGGTACCTTAGGAAATATGGACACAGGTAACAGTTTCTGTAGCAGCAAGATGATAGCTTGTTATCCTGCTGTGAGAGGAAGAAAAATGGTCCTCTTTGGCTGCTTGAGTTACTATCTTGTCTACGTTATTTCTTTTTAGTTGAGTGGCATGCAAACTTTGTTCTCCCCTTTTAAAGCCTGTCTTTTTCATAGAAGCTTTCTCCCACCTCATTTTATCAGCTTCTGCAACTGCAGTACATGAAGCTGCACATGTCTACATCCTGCACTGATGCAGAGATCAGGAGGCATTGTAGGATATGGCATGGATTATTAGTAGTTTCTTTCTGGTGCGAAGGAAGCTGTCATTTCAGTGCCATAGCAAAGGCTGACTGGAGTAACAACGTGGTGGTGTGTCAGTGGCAACCAGTTAAGAGCATTAGTGAGTACAGTCACGTTTAAAGTTCAGCTGTTCTCAGCATTCTAACCATGCAAATTACTAAAAAGTAGAGAATGTGAGATTCTGCAACTGGCAATGAATAGCTAGAATGAAACGTGTGGGTCCATAGTTTTCTTTCTCTGAAGTTTGATACAATAGGAAAAATGTACCTAGATGTAGAAGGCTACATTTTACTTTCAGTTACAGTTATGCAAATCTAAAATAAACTGGCGATAAGAGTGCCAGAATATAATGAAACATGGCTGCAGCTTGCACACAGACGTTTGTGCTACATAACCAGAATGCAGAATGACAACAGCTCTGTTTTAAGAGAGACTTGAGTGCACCTCGCTTAGCAGCCTGTTTTCAGCTTACTGTGGACTTGATCAGTCTTGAAGTATGTTGAACTGTGTCATATCTGAGACTGCTGCATAACTGTAGTGCAGCTACAATTTCTAAAACAAATGCTAAAAATGATTTTTTTCTTTTCAGCAGCTCTCAAGAGCTGACATTGTTCAGTGCCTTTATTCGTGCTCTCAATTGATTAACTTTTGAACAGGAAGGAACTCACTGCTGATGCTCGTGAGCTGAAGGGAGAATTATACTGCTTAACCTGCCATGACAAAATGGGCGTCCAGAGTGCCTAACAGTACATGTGGAAAGGCAGAAACATTCTGTGTCAACCATAATATTACTGAGCATCGTAATACCCTTATGTCTTCCATAGTCACCTGCCATGTAAATATCTCTAAAGCAGCTTATGTGAGGGTTTGTATTTCAGGGCCACGTACAATATTTAGGAAGGTAAACGGTCTATTCCTTATGTTGTTTTGAAGATCTCCTCCCGTAAACGCTTTCTTCTCAAGACTGTAATGTTGGTGCTGATTATTTAAAGTCTCTTCATTCTGTTCCTTGATAACATATCAGAATCCCTTTGCTTGATTATTTTTTTTGTCACTTTTGGATTGAAATGTTGAATACATTAAAAGGAGCATTATTTTAGTGGTCTAAATATAGAAGCAAAAACGTTTTAACTCTCCTTTTCAAGAAGGCACAGCACAGTAGACTTCAATGATGTTTAGTACTGGGCATGGTTTGTTTGCTTTCCAGAAAATAATACCATTACTTCCAAATAATCCAAAAAAATGTGTGTCGTTTTCTTCGTAGCATTTTGTTTGTGCAAAATGTGAAAAGCCATTCCTGGGTCATCGTCATTACGAGAGAAAAGGCTTGGCATATTGTGAAACCCACTACAACCAGGTAAGGTTGCATATTTTTAAAAATGACGTTGATTGGTAAGCTCCTGAATTGGCTTTTTTAAATAGAGATGGAAACCCATGGACATTCTTCTGTTTTCTTGTAGGCACCTGTGGGTGTAATGCCAATTAGCAAATGTTCGGTTGCAGTTCATTTGTACGGGTTTCTCTATACATCGGTCTGGTATTGAGAAAGAAAAATGCAGCTATTTCATAAAGGCTAGCCAGGACAATCAGCATTGACTTGTTCTTCAAGCTTAGTGGTGCTTAAGTAGAGCTGTTATGAGCTTTTACATGTCTGTGAGATCAGAGCTGCTAATGACACCCAGTCTTTCCCAAGAAGCTAGAGAAGATTTACCACTCAGCAGCTGCTGTTTAAGGCCCTAGTGAGTAGCGTGGTTTTTCCTAAAGCTGCTACTCTATTCGAAGGTGAGTGTGTGTTAACACACACTGCATCAGCCAGCTCATTCATGAGGTTGCTGCAGAGTGCAAAGACTGGATTTGTCAGAGGACACCACCTAGCGACCACTTGCATTTATACGGGAGTCACATACCGCGGTACCACCTCTCTCCAGACTCCCTTGGTTGTGTAGTCCAGCACCGCGACCTATAGACCTTTTTCATTTGGAAGCCACCTGCCATGTGTCACGTCCACCTCTTCGCTTGTATAAGTACAAGAGCAAGGGTTACATTTGGGAGCTGTAAGGCATCTGCTAATTACAGATGGATTCTTAATTTGTCAGTGGTGATGGGCAGATGATTGAAATGTTGCTGGCATACTTGTAGACAATAAATGCCACGACATCAGTAGTAACAGTGTGGCAGCCCTGGTGGGGCAAGTACATATACCAGACAGGAGCTGTATGTAGAGTGGATGTCTTTCACTAGATTAACTACTACAGTTAGAAAAAAATACATGTGTTTTTTGGCACTTCTTAATTGTTATATTGTGGACAAATGCTAAGCCTGGAAATAGAATTAATAACTTTTGGCCTAAATTTTCCTCCCACACACCTTTTGTTTTTAAATAAGGATAACATTTCCTTACAGGTTTTGCCAGAAACAGCAGGATGTTGTTCTAGTCATGCATGTAAATACAAATGTTACATTGACTGATTAGCAATGATGTGTATCTGACAGCGACTGCTGTACGTGACATGTTCAGGATTAGAGAAATGTTAAAAGAAAACAAAATTGCATTTACAGAGGGTCAAACTCATGTAAACAAATGTTTTCATCTTTAATATTGTAAAGACTTTTTGTGATGAGATGATGCAAAACGTACTTGGAAAACCAAACCAGACTTGCCAGCATTCCCTTTATTTTACTGAAATAAGTAGGAAAGCTATTGTGCCCATCAGCTGAAATATAGTTGTTTTGTTAGTTTGAAAAGCTACCCTCCATAAAATCATTACATTAAAAAATCACTACTCCTCTTTTGTCTTCAGCTATTCGGTGATGTTTGTTTCCATTGCAACCGTGTGATTGAAGGAGATGGTAAGCACTTTTCTCACTGTTTCTTTAATGTTCCTTTCTGATGGATGTTCTTGTTAAAAGTGGAAGTAAGGAGAAAGCAGCCCCCTGTCGAATCCGTGATTGTTCTCACTAAAACTAAAACAGCCATTCTGTTGATCAGAAATTAGGTTAGAGCTGATTAGTCAGAGACCAAATGGTGAGAAAACCTTACAGCGAGCGTTTCATGATGGTAGAAGACCACCCAGCAGCTAAAGAGAACCACGGCCAACTGGAAGCCCCTTAGTGACATGAAAAGGCCAGGGATGCTGGAGGATGCACACAAGTAGCTTCCTGCCCCACTGACTTTAAAAAAGAACACATGCAAGGGTGAGAACAACGACAAAGGCATCTCCAGCATCTCCTCAAATGAATTTAGGGATCGTGAACCAAATTTGAAAAAGTATTTAGATATTGAAAGACATGGGTGGGCACCCTAAGGGATTTTTTAAAAGTGCCTAGTTCCTATTACAGCAGTTTGGATCCTAGAGATATTTACCTGTTGTCATGGTTTAACCCCAGCCGGCAACTAAGCACCACGCAGCCGCTTGCTTATTTCCCTCCGGTGGGATGGAGGAGAGAATCAGAAGAGAAAAAGTGAAAAACTCATGGGTTAAGATAAAGGCAATTTAAGAAGTAAAGCCAGGCAACACAAGGTTTTTCATTCACTGCTTACCATCGGCAGGCCGGTGTTCATCCATCTCCAGGAAAGCAGGGCTCCATCACGTGTCACGGTTACTTGGGGAGAGAAACGCCATCACTCTGAACATCCCCCCTTCCTTCTTCCCCCAGCTTTATATGCTGAGCACGTCGTGATACGGTGTGGGATACCCCTCTGGTCTCATGGGGTCAGCTGTCCCGGCTGTGTCCCCTCCCGGCTTCTTGTGGCCCCCCAGCCTTCTCTCTGCTGGGGCAGGGTGAGAAGTAGAAAAGGCCTTGATGCTGGGCAAGCACTGCTCAGCAATAACAAAAACATCCCTGTGTTATCAGGGCTGTTTTCAGCGCAAATCCAAAACACAGCTTCATACCAGAAAATTGACACTGTCCTAGCCAAAACCAGCACACCTATCTATCACAGGCACTTGTCTTTTGAAAATCTAGGCTGACAATAATGTCACAAAACCAGGAAAGCCATCAGCTAAGTAGGAGGAAGCCTCTAGCATGTAAAAAGACACATAGACTAGTTTATAGTCATGTAACTATAGGGTGAGACCTGCATTCCAGAGATGTGCTTTCGCCACATTTTCTGGACTGGACCATACCTGCAGGACGACAATCCAAAACACTTTGGAGGAAACAGTATCCTCCTCTTCAGTAAAATCCTGCTAGGATGAGCAGAACTGGGACTGGAGGTGACTGAATAAATTCAGCCTTGTCTGATAGCTGTATCTCTGTATGTTTCCAACCTTTTGCCATATAATCAGACACTCATGTCATATGTTTTGGTCTCTGAACTGAACAGAATATAGTGTAACGCAGGAATTTCTTTATTTTCAATCTACGTCTTCAATTATTTTACATTTCTTCATTTATGCATACAAATTTGGCACTGCTGTCACAAATTATGGGTATCCAACGTTGTTCTCTCTCTGTCTCTCTCCCTGGTGAAGCAAACGTCTGTGGCAGCAGTTTTTCTGGAGGGTGCCTATGACTCTATTCCAGAGGTTGCTGGGGACTGAAGACTTTCATCTGACTAGTGTTATTTTGGCAAGCAGTGGAATAACTATGCTTCTGTGGATGTGCTTGCCCCGTAGTGCAGGGAAAAAAGCTCTGCGTGACAACGCTCTGTTTCTCTTTGTTGTTGACAAAATGCTGTATTTTATCAGAAAGCCATTGTCCTGCATCCTCTAACTTAGATTAAGAAGACAGCCAAATTTTGGCAGGGAAAAGCGGGAAAGTATATTGAAAGAGAGGAAGAACAGAAAATTGATTGAGATACAGAACAAAGAGAAAATAGTTACTTCCTCTCCAAAGCAAAGAATAAAAATATATCCAAGTCTCTCTTAAGTAATTTATCCCACGAGTCCATCTGGTCAGGCATTGGAGCAGGCTGCCCAGGGAGATGGTTGAGTCCCCATCCCTGGAGGTGTTTAAAAAACGAGCAGATGTGGCACTTCAGGATATGGTTTAGGAGGCATGGTGGTGTTGGATGCATGGGTGGACTCGATGATCTTCGAGGTCTTTTCCAACCTATGATTCTATGATTCTATAGTTCTATAATAAATGTTTTCACCTTGGAAGTGCTGATTTACCAGCCGTGTCCTGACTGCTGGCTTCACGTTATTTTCTTTGGCCGGGCAAGTGCTATTGTTGATGGCACTGCAGTCTGAATGGGAGCTGAGAAATGAAACCCAATGAAAACACCTTCAGCAATGAAAGCACCTTCAGAAATCCAGCAAGGGATTGCTTTGCAGCTGAAGAAGTCTCCCGATTAAGGTGGAAGCACAGCCTCATAAAACAGTTGCCTGAGGTCAGCATGCTGTGAGATGAGGTGGAAGCAGGCAACAGGAGGCAGAAATAGGTTAAACTGGTCTTGCTGGTTCTGGTTCTCATTTGGGTGGTGAACACAGCGTTGTATGTACCCGCAGAGACAGCTTTGTCCATGCTTCACAGTCCTGCTACGCTACGCTTTATATGTGCCTTCCGCCTTGCCACGTTATTGTTACGGTCCTTAATACTTGATACAAAAATCAAATGGCCGTTCTTCATACCTCATGAACATGGGAGTTTAAAATTTTTGTAGTACACTTTTTTTTTTCTCTGTAACGCTAATGATATTTTTTTTCCCCATCATCCTAGTTGTGTCTGCTCTGAATAAGGCATGGTGTGTGAACTGTTTCGCTTGTTCGACTTGCAACACTAAGTTAACACTCAAGTAAGTTTTATCAGTAAGGGTGATGCCTTCAAAACATATCGGGGGTTGTCTTTGAAGCGTGGATGTTGCTATCGTGTAACTGTTAGGGTATGAAAAACACAGAAGCAGATTTGAGAAAGTATGTGTAGCCTTCTTCCTCTTGCTCCGCTTACTAATTTACATCTCTTTCAGCTGTCTGTTCAGGTCTTCCTTCAGGTAGCCTTCTTACCTCTTCTCCTTTTCTGTCCTATGTTTCTCCTGTGTTTAACTCTAAAGGGATAAGTTTGTTGAAATTGATCTAAAACCTGTCTGCAAACACTGTTATGAGAAAATGCCCGAAGAATTTAAGCGACGGCTTGCCCAACGGGAACGTGAAGCAAAGGACAAAGAGAAGCAGAAAAAGAAAAAGCCAATCTGTTTGTAAACTTCTTTTCCTGCTCACCCGCACCTCTGCTGCTTTCTGCTTTGGTCAGTGCTACGGATGCTTTCGTTTTAGTTTTTGCATGAATTGATGCGAATCAAAACCAAAATATTTTTCACACTACTGCAACATGAAATATTAACTTGTTATTCCGTTCTCTTATGTTTAGTCTGTTTAGCTCTGCAGTAAGGTCTGAAAGGCTTTTTAAATAACACGGTTAATAAATACGGACATTTGGATAAAATCTGCACAACTCACACAGGGTACTGTTAATTACTGTCTACAATGTATAACCTTGTGAAAGTAACTTCATATATGTATAAACTGCAGTTGTAATTTTTTGCCTGTGCGCATTCAATAGGGTACTTTTGAAAAAATATTTTCACTGTCCCTGCTGCTAAAACTTTGTCTGGTCTTTGCTTTGTTGTTTTAGGAATAAATTTGTTGAGTTTGATATGAAGCCTGTCTGCAAAAAGTGTTATGAGAAGTTTCCTCTAGAGCTGAAGAAAAGACTGAAGAAACTAGCTGAAACTTTGGGAAGGAAGTGAAGACTTCATCTGCCCTCCCCTTCCTCTGGGAAGATCTCAGATCTGTTACCTGGGGGGGGCTGCTTTGAGGCTGCCGTCAGACGAGAGGTGACGATGTATGCCTTCTGTCAAATCGAAATATCTGAAGATTCTCTCTTCTCTGTACATGTACGCGTATGCTTATTTGTTGATCAACAGACCACACTTCCAGTCTAAACCAAATACCAGCTCACCTGAAAGGTTTCTGACCCTGACAATGCCGTTGAACTGATGCAAGTGGCCCGTTCTGCGCAGTAATCTCTGCGGAGTTTCACAGAGGCAGCAAATCTGCTTGTGAATACCTGTGAAAACAAACGGTGCACATGTGTCCAACTTCAGGGGCATGCATTGTCACTTATATTAACGAAAGCATTAACCTTCATATTAAGCATGCACACAAGTGACTTGGGCAAGAAACCAGCATACTTCGCCTCGTGAAAAAATTCGCGACTGGATTTCAGGCCAAGTCGTCTCATTAAAGGAGCCTTGTTTCGGACGGGTTGAGAAGTAGCACATTTCTAAATACAGTCACTGTACAAATGACCTGCTTCTGGTAGATTACGCTCACATGATGAATCTTTGTACATCAGGCTTAGCATGAAATACCTATATAAAGTGTAGATGCCTATTGCAAGAAATGAGCATACTCAGAACTACTTGAATTTTGCTATATTCCACTCAAAATAACACATTAACTTTTATATATGCTTTTTGCATTCTACTTCGTTTTTGTGCCTTATTCTGCTGGACCATACATAACAGTGTTCCATTAAATATATATATAGTTTTATTTTTTATTTCATATTTTTATGCAGAAAGTATATACAAGGTATTTTCAAAAGATAACATTGCCTTAAGGATACAGGATGCAAGAAGTATTTTATTTTTATTTTCAAATGTGAACAGCTGAGCTTAAAATTTAGCTTCTAGACTTCATTAATTTTCAGAACAATACTGAAAATGCGTATTTCTATTAACTGGCAATATGACTTTTACACCTATGAGTGTAAGTATACAAGGTTTGATCCTGCTAGGATCTGTTTCTTTAGCCATCCTCAAGAACTGAGCTCACAAATCATCAGAATTCCTTATCACATGAATTTAATTGTTTTATACCATTGATTTGTGTCCATGCAAATCTGTTTCATTTTTCCCTTTCTAATAGAAAATACAGCTACTTAGGACTTCTTGATGGTACTACATCACGAACTTTTTTTTTGTAATATTAGTGACTTTAAACAGATTTTATGTATTTACGCCATAGGGAGTAAAATTTTCTTTCCTGTTTATGAAAAATTAGTTGCTTTAAAAGATCTGCTTTCCAGTGTCATCAATAAAGGCTATGTTATTATCCCTTGTGTCACCTCTCTTAATTGAGTGGGAAAGCATCTAGGCTCTCCTGGTTCCCTATGCTTTTACCTGTGGCTGTGTGTAAATGCTTCCTTATTGTCCTGATTTAAAGGAGATATATGCCTTTCCTAAATAACCCACTGTAGTTCGTCGGTTCGTGAAAGAGACCGACGTTTGCTTCATAAAGAACAGCGTGATTTTTCTGGATATTTTCTGAACTGGCACAGTTGCTAGGTTTTCCTAAAGAAAACACCTTGTCTGAGTTTCAAACGTACACCTTCTGATCAATTTTTTCTCTCCTCCTTTCACGGTAGTGAAACTGTCACTCTAAACTTCCAGTTTAGTGCTAGGTGGGGTATTATTTTGACTATGTCATCCTACATAGTTACTGAATGCCATAACAGTTCAGTAACTGAATGCAGTCCTGACTGCATTAAAGACTAGAAAAATCTTAAAAACATCCGCAAAACACGTTTACGTAACTAGCATGGTAGCCCTGTTGGGATTTTGCACCGTGCCATGGATTCAGTAGACCATACTCAGCAATGCTTCCCCCAAACTGTAATTCGCTTCTTGTTCTAGGATTTTTGCATTACACTGACTGCACGTTTTTTCCTTCAGCCTCACTGCTGGAAGAGCCGGGAAGGGTCCCCAGCCCTGAGGCCAAACGGTGAGACCGGCCTCACACCCACATCGCTCGGGGTTACATCCGTCCCCAGCACGGTGGCCATGTTTGTGCTGTGCAGCCGCAGGTCTCCTCTCGGCTCCCTGGTAGCCCCATGGCCCTGATGCAGGATGGGGTTTGTTTCTGTTTCCAAGTCCCTGATGGTGACCGCTCTGCTACAGCTCACCAAGGCAGCGGGTTCTGTTTTGTGGACGTGAGTGTGCTTATCCCAGACCCCACGATGTAGCGTGAAGAGCATCTGAGGGTGCGTGAGGGTTCAAAGCCTGATGAATCACAGAAAAACGTTGGTTGGAACAGGCTGCTAAAGGTCAGCTAGCCCAACCATCTGCTTGGAGCACGTCTGGCTTCAAAGTCGGATCAGTACTGCAGGCTTTGCTCAGCCAAGCTGTGAATATCTCCACGGAAGGAGGTTTCACAGACCTTCGTGGGCAATATGTTCCAGTGCTTAGTCACCCTCATGGTGAAATTTTTGTATTATTATTGGAGTCCTATCTCAAGTGGTGGGTTCCCTAAATCCACACTGCTTTCTTGGGAGCTGTCTTTGGAGTGAACGGTCATTGAAGTAATACCCCTAGACATTGTTATGAAGAGGAAGAATTAAAAGCAGTTGCAAAACAGAGCCAGGGAGCAAGCTAGCAATTAGGCAGCCTGGACAATTACAGGCCTGGTGTTGAAGCTCTCTTCCTGGCCTGTCAGTATATACAAATATTTTGCATAGCTGGACATACTTTCCTGAAAGAGGCAGAGTTTATTATGGTTTTTCTACCCATGCCCGCTGCTAGGTCTCTCAGGGAAGGCTGGGATGCGGGAATGGATGCCTCAGAAGCTTTGCCCCTTCCTGCTGCAGGGCATCAATCATGACGGGCAAGAGAGATTGCTTCTGAAGCCCCTGTTTAGGGTAACAGTAGGGAGCACTTCAGAAATCGCAGTGGATGTCGCTGTAGGGAGAAGAAGCTGTGCCTAAGGCCCTTCTGCAGCTGGCAGTGGCAAGCCCTGTGCTGTTCCAGGGGGTAGGTAGCCAGCCAAGCTGAGCACGGTCAGGTTGCAGGGGCAGCACCACAGTCAGCTGCTGTCCTACCTGGTGAGCTGCTTTCCTGGTGGTGTGACCACCAGGGACAACATGGGGGGTGCCACTTCCACAGGGATGGGCGAGAGACAGTGCCCTGTGTCAAGGCACTGGGCCATGTCTGTCTGAAGGCGATTTCCCATGCCTCCCCACCAGCTGAAGCGCAGAAATTTCCTCCAGTGAGGCAACTGAGCCAACTCGTAGCGTTCTCCTCTGCACCAGCACCAAGAGTTTTATTACTTAGCCTGGCAGGTGATGATAAATTATTTGGTAATCCCAGCTGTAGACGCACCGTTCAAAAAAGTACAGAGGTCCTGCACATGAGTTGAGGCAATCCCAAGCACAAATACAGCCTGGGTGGAGAACGGATGGAGAGCAGCCCTGAGGAGAAGAACTTGGCGGTGTTGGTTGACCAGAAGCTCAACATGACGCAGCAATGTGCACTCACAGCCCAGAAGGCCAGTCACATTCTGGGCTGCATCAAGAGGAGCGTGGCCAGCAGGGCAAGGGAGGGATTCTGCCCCTCTGCTCTGCTCTGCTCTGCTCTGCTCTGCTCTGCTCTGCTCTGGTCAGACCCCACCTGGAGTCCTCTG